AAAATTTGAGAAAGACTCGAATATAGAACACTATACACTATTGCACATTAATTCAAATGATAAATCTACTTTCTAACATCCTTGTTTTGCAGTCAATGTTTAAGAAAAAAAGATCATGGATTAACCTTTGGTATTCTAAACTATATCAGCACAAGTGTGACGGTAAGTTTATATAGATACATTTCAAATTAATTCTAATCTTTATCATATTTGTTTTCGATTGTATCAGAAAGCCTTTACTTCATCCTATGAAAAGGAATACCGCGCTGTACAAACATTGAACAGCCTGAAATTGAACATAAATAGATACAGGAAATTTCACAATTTGTTTTTGCGATTATATCTGCAATTCACATTACTAAAACATAGGTCTGTTTTCGCATAACTGAATGCATTACACTGAACGCCAAGCCTTTTGTACTATAACTTGCACTAAAACTTTGCACACCAGTTCTATATACCGAATACACTATCAAAAGTGAAACATGTGCATTATTTACAATAAAATAACTAGTATGCATATATCCCTTATAATATATATATATATCCGAATTCCGAAGCAAAAACACTCGGTCATTGTGACTTGCGCTAAAATGCGCGCTCCTTTCCTGATATAGAAGTATACCACATTGCCTTTGATGGGCTTTGTTCTTCAGTTAACAAAGCATTGTACATATACCTGAAATTTCATAATCACACAAATATAGCATGTGTGAATAAAATATCAAGCCAAATACACAAAAGACGCTTATACCACAGCAGTAAATATATAAGTATACATATAAGCTCTTTGCAATTGGGTTTTCATCATACACTAAGCCTAAGGATCTTGATTCTTGGTTTCAAACTTGTCCGCAGTGTTGTCGCAAAAGGCAGTTTGATAATAATGGAACAATATACATAGTGCGTATTTCAGAATGATAAAAACGACAACACCCCACTCGTTGGCCACAGAGTACCTATATAGGCTTTGCATGATGTTTGCGCAAAAAATGCGCACAAGTTTTGCCGCCGATCAATGCAAATTGCATATACATTCTAACTTTCTGAGGTTAATCGCCGTACAGTATACTGTATATATTATTCCTTCGCAACAGAATATTCACATAACTTGTGAAATAATATAGTGAAGACGACCAAAAGGCAAAACGTTTTACTATAAAAATAAAACAGAAAATTGAATGAAGATTCTATTCGAATTAAAGCACATACAGAGTTGTTCGAGATATAAAACCTCAACTTGTTGTCGCGACACAAATGATGTTCAGATACACGAATATTGTGACAGAAAAATGCGTCAAGTGTACAAAAATGTACAGCAGAAAGCAGAAACACGCGAAACGTTTGAAATCAACATACATGCAGTAGCTACAATACCACGCGCGCGTTAGTTCTTCATCACATACTATCTTCAAGTCTAAGGGCTGGCAAAATGTTCATCATTTTCCAACAAAGTTGCTCATATCAATATATTTGAATGGCAACATGATAAACACAAACGCGAAAGTTCTTTATATGTCTTTTCTATATGATTACAAGTTACTTTCTGACTATAGTCTAGTATACCACTTCAAAACCAACATGCAAACAATGGCGATCCAATTTTAAGTTTAGCCAGCCCTTCGCACGTCTTTCTTTACAGTCTATTACATGTCAACGATTAAGGAAAACGTCTATACCTAACATAAACCACTGGTAATTGAGTGTCTAAATCTCAATAGAGCTTTGTTATCACATCCTGATCAAAAACTCGCATTCAATTCCTTATCCGTTCTGCAAGTAGACGAATATCGAGAGAGGTATATAGTCCTACTCTTTAAAACATGTACTAAAACCTTTGTTAAGAACGTTAACTGCAACTAGCAATAATTTGATAAATATTTAGTGTTGCAAACCATAACATGGCCAGTGTTCAATCATTAAAAATGGCTGACCTAGATTGCATAAACATAAGTGTTGTAAAATTGATGTTAGGTGTGAATATCCTATAAAGTAACACCTCGTAGCGAGACGAAGGTCCTCCGTTGGACGAGACAGTTTGGCGTTAAAGATTTCACAGCCTTAAAAACACCACTTTCTGTCAAAAAGTTAGTGATATACGGCAAGAAACAAAACCTTATAAGCGACCTGGCTTCTTCCCCGACGCCTTTCTTTGGCCTTGAATCATAACATGTTTGGCATTCCTTGGTTTAAAAGACCTTGTTGCTGATCTCTCGACAATCAAATCTATCGTATTCCTGGGATTTTAGCTATATCTGCGATCCCAGTTTACGATAATGCACTTTTTAGGTGGGAATATAAAACTTTCCGACACAAAACACTATAGGCTATAGCACTTGATTATAAGCAAGGCCATCATTACCGATAAAATGGCGGTCTTTACATTTTGTGATAGCAATTACCAGATCTATAAACCTAACTTAACCAACTATACCTGTATGCATGTATGTAGAAAACCTTATTACGTAAGGCATGCAACCTTCCTCTTCGAGGATAACATTGAAAATTACGTCTCATATCACATTTGAGTAAAAAATATTCCTGATCATAGTGATAGAGCTCGAAGTGGTTTACCAGGCCAAGAAACAAATGAACACCCGCACGTCATATTTTCCAAAAACAGAGGATATGTTAATAAAAGCGCCGTTTAACAAACAGGTTATACTTCAAAAGCAGTGAAGTAAACTAACGCTATATAGACACTGTCCCCGACAGATGATTTAAGTTGTCTAAACATTGAACATTATTTCAATTCATGGCATCTTCGCGTCGTAAACACATTTAAATTTTCCGTAGTTTTTGCGAGAATTTCTCCAAGGTTTTTGTCTATTATGACTATATTTTTCTACTTGAAAAGATTTTCTTTTCTATTTTACATTGGAGCTGTAATGAGGTCAATATATAGAGACCTTATAATAGAGCCCGTGTCTCGTGTTTTGTCAAAAGTCATTATTCAAAAATTGAAGAGTTCGCCGCCATAATGGCGTGGTTGATGCGGGATGAGGCGCCAGTTGGTGTCATGATGAATGTGTGAGACAACATAAACGTTTACTCAACTATATTGTGCCTAGTCCTTTAGTTACATAGAGACGGCTTTAACCTGCTTCAATCGGCTCACACTCTCATCATACTAAATCCCTAAGCAGACAAGATGACCATAATACCAAAGAGACAAAGCCGTCCTTTTATTGGGTTTTATGCACTAGAAAACAGACCAAAAACTCAAAGCATTAGATAGCAGTGCACACACAAAAACAACCTCGAAAAATGGACGAGATCAAACACATTTCAAATAACAATTAAAATTATATTCTAAATAATTTACAAATCTTAAACGAAGACTCGAAAATAGACAAATGTCTTCGAAGATATCTTTACAATTTTTGTTACACCGTTTAAGATAATTTGAATAGAATTCGTTAATTTGTCTCATGTTAAGCCATGTTGACGAGGCTTAAAGTATTACGGTATTGAATTAGGTTCCTTTTCTATGGGAAAACCCATCACAATACCCCCAAACATAATAATATTCTCGGTAAACTGCCATTTTATACCAAGAAAGCATGGATAACATTTTCGGGAAGGAAAGCCCTTCGATTATGTCCTATAACTCAGATATCCTGGCAGTTGAAGAAAATTTTTGATTTGTATAATAATCACATGCAATGCCTATGTTAGTTTTGCATGATTTTCAAGTTCTGTCGCGATCAACGCGAATAGTTTAGTTCGTGGTAAAGATTTAGGGTTACCGTTTTGACTGCGTTTGTTTCATCATTCCTCGGTTAGTCGGAATTACGGGGTTGTTCACCTTTTTCCATTTCATGCGACGATTTTGGAACCATATTTTAATCTGTCGTTCCGTCAACTTTAAACTGTCCGCCAACTCTCTCTTCCTCTCTCGCGTTAAATAGCGCGTGAAATGAAATTCCTTCTCGAGTTCAAGTAGTTGTTGTCGCGTGTACGCCATTCTTTTCCGGCTACGGTACGGTTGGCGAACTAACCAGTGATCTAGCATGAAAAATAACAGAAAAATATATTAAGATCAAGGGGAATTCATTGTTACTTATCCTGATATGACGAGTTATATTGTGTTATACACAATGAAATAGGTTCAAAGCCAAAGCTGACACATTTTTGAAATGTTCTGCCCTTTGACAAAGGGGAGCACATTTAATGGTTATTGTTTCAATAGCGCGGCTGTCTTCATACAAAGAAAAGAAATATATTTAATCCATTTGCACAGCACTTGTCTTAATATATTTTCCGGGTTTCATTTTGTTAAACAGACAAAAAACATGAGCGCGGCATTGCTAGTATATAGGCCAATGCAATAAAAAATACATTGTTCAAGAAATTTAGTAATCTAGATGGAGCATTATATATTCATGTTAACCAAGTGGGCTTAATCAAAAAATTATCATGAACTATTAGTTTTGTGTTTAAGTGCTTTGAGACGTATTTGTTGACTAGAAATGGTTGGTTAAGTGTTGCTGTTTTAAAGATTAGAAATCTTTTTAAAATACCTGAGCTTGCTGGATCATTTTGGTCGTCTTCCATACCAGGGTCTTCGTTCTGTGAGTCTTCTAGGCTATTACATGAGTCAAATGAGCGTGAACTCGAGTGTTCTGTTGTTTCACCCAAAGAACTGTACTCGGAGATGGTTTTTATCTGGTCGGTGGCAGTTGCCAAGCTAGGATAGTGCATAAACGCGGGATGTGTGAGCGACCGTAGTGAGGATGGCGAAAAATTTGCATACCGAAACTGTGCTAGCTGTTGCTGCATAAACAGAGGTTGATAACTCGCGGGGAAGCACGACTGGTGAGGATACATGTAGGACACACTCGGATTAAATGGTTCCATGCTGTTTTTCTCTCTTCGCTTCTTTCTTCACGACACACTATATCTCAAGTAATCTGTTGCAACGATGACGGAGAAAACGATACCTTCTAATTAACATGTGACGAATCTCTTTTTAAGAAGAGCCTATAAATTACGCCTTTCTGATTGGCTGTTGCGTCTCACGGCGGCGAGCCAACGCACTCGCTTTATGTACTGCCCGTTCCTACCCCAGGCATTCTGTGAGGGTCATGTGATCAATTCTTCCTCAATATAACCATTAATTATACAAATGTTCGCAAGCGACTATCGTGGGTGAAAAATGATTCATTTTAAACTCAAAACACGACACGTTCTGTCCTGAAACTTTGTTGCATCGTGTCACCTGGCGACACTATTGTTACGCTAAATAGGGCGGGCAGATAATTCGCAACTAGTATAAAGGATTTACAAAACAGCTTAAGTTTTCACCTTCTTACATAACCAATTAACACGTATAGTTTTAGTCTAAACAAATCGCTTCGTATTGTATATAAATCGGATATTCTTATGCATTAGCCACAAGAAGGAAATGTTTTGTACTTTTAAATAGTGACACGGGAAGAAACAAGAGGTTATGCGCATAAATTTAGATTCACCAGACTGCTGTATAGACTTCTTTCTAAACCACGCGAGTCAAAAGTCTAAGCCGTTTAGCGTATGTCCACAAACCGTTTGCACAGTTGCATCGCAGAATACGTAATTAAAACCGAACAAAATATCAGGCAGAGAAACTTAGCGCACTTTGAGAATATTTTTGTTTTGATTTTTCAGTATATGTACAATGTCATCGTGATATATTGTTGAACTGAACGTAAGCTTTTAATATAATACACTCTAGAAGTGCTAGCAAGCGTTTCGCTCTGCAAACACAAAGGGAGTCATTGAGACGCTTCATTCGACTGTAATACCCCTTGTAATAGCGGATTATTTACATTAAGGCTGAGATCTTATTAAGCAGTTAATAGAATATAAAAGCAAAATGAATATGAAGCGTAAGGGACATGTCGTTAGACGTTATTAATAGCACCTCAAAATTGCTGCAATTTATCGTTTTAATTGGCATGGAGTGTGGCCACATTCACACATCATTAAAAACAGGACGACTGCAGGTCTAAAGCGAGATTTATGTGTTGCGCACAAAACCCGGGCCGGGCACCCAAATGTCTGCAATGGGATATCATTTCTACTGTATAAAACGCTAAAGTGACGACATCTGCCGTTTTTGTAAACTTTGAGAAAATCATGTAATCACTTTTTTGTATTCTTGTTCTGTAGGGTTGTCGGTCAGAGGTCAAGAAGTTAACATTTATCAACGTGAAAATGATGTCGTTCCATGTTTCTAATATTTAGAGTGTTCAACGATTCGCAACAACAAGGTTTGTCACGCGAGGCGATTCTCTTTGAATCATTATTCATAAATGTCCGCCATATAGGCTTCTTCCTGACAGTTCTTCCTCGTAACGACACACAGACCACACGCCTGTCCCACATTCGAACAGGCACGTGCTGTAATCCTCGCTTATAGCAAATGATTTTTTTGACATTTCTTGGATTGCTCAACATGTACACTAAAATATTGTATTATATAGATGCGCACACTCGTTCAACTCTATCCCGCTTAATCATCAAACACAAAATCGAAAAAATCCATCGAGAAAAATTGGAATAAATTTGGATTTGAATTGGTTGGGAAGATAATTTTACAGAGTCGGGTTTCTTATATTAAAAGCGCACGCTATACTGTATATAGATTTCACTATGACAAAGTATAGCATGCATTTATGCAAATTTAAGCTTCTTCAGATTATTGATCTGATAAAGTGTCTCTTTACTGCATACTCTTTCAAATGGATTTTACTATGATATAGTGTTGTAACTCTATTTCATAGCCATTGACCAAATGCCAAATTGAGAGCAATATTTTCATGAGAAAATCTCACATACTAGATCACATGGATTTAGTATAGCTTTCAGTACAACTTGATCATGGTACATAAATCATCATGAATGCATGTAGGTCATTCAACAGCATAGGTATAGCTAAGTATATTAACCAACATATTTGAAGACGATTCCCAATTTACCGGTAAACCTATAGCTAAGATAGACAGGAGTGGATTTAAAGGGGGGTGCACAGGGGTGCGCACCCCTGTTGGCTTGGTTAACAGGGGTGCAAGGGGGGGAGGTGCAAGAAAATCAAATTTAGAAATATGGCATAATTTCCAAGGTTTTTCCTTTGTTGAAGTCAAACTCAAGCTCACAATTCAATGCCCATATCGCCGGAAATGGCATTTCTAGGGTTCTAATTTTCAGAATTTTCCGGGGGGCATACCTCGCACCCCCTAGGGCCGGCTCACGCCTTCGGCGCTTGAGTCGTTAGGAAGCCAATTCATTTGAATGCTCTCCCACCACTCCCTAAAGAATTATAAAGAAACACTTGGCTGCTCACCCAGCACCCCTAAAAAAACCTTGCTGGATCCACCCCTGCAGATAGGTGATATGCAGGTTGTCATTACCAGGGCCGTAGCTAGACGCGATAATTGGCGGGGTGTATATTCATATATTCATGTTCATTAGCGTAAAAACAATAGCTTTCAAAAGAAATTTGTCGGGCAGAACACGAATACATGAATATACCCCCCCCCCCCAATTATCGGTCTAGCTACGGTCCTGGTCATTATAAGACCATTGTTTAAAGTTTCTTTCGGGATAGCTGGTCTTATTAGCCAACTGGATTTTTTTGTCTTTTTCTAAAGCAGGAACTGAATTTTTCTTGACAAGTTATGTTTTTGACAAATTTTTAAACAGCCCTCATATAGGCCAAGTAATTTCTTGCGACTTTTTCATGATGCCACGCATGTTATATTGACCTTTGGCGATTATTTTATGTGTGGATTTCTTTTACTATTTAAACTTCTATAGTGACTTTTTTATGTCAGATTTGATTATTTTCAATCAACTTTTCTGTATACATGTTTATGTTAATTTCATTTGTCATTAAAGTGAATTTCTAAAGCATTAGTAATATCAGACTGAACAAAATAATATTATGTTCTGAGATTAGAAATTGTGAATGCAGCCGGGAATGTATATATATTCACCACATCAGCCGGGACTGCATGAATAAGAACTGATAAGGCAGGAATGTGTTATGGTTTTATGTGAATTTTTAGGCGTTTGCCGTTTTCCATCACGAGAAAAGTATATTCACAAAAAGCCCAACATTAATGCATTTCCGAGTTATGCATGCCACGTCTAAACTCACAATTCTAAACTCACAATTCTAACCGAATGAAAAAAGCTGTTGCGTGTTGAGGAAAGACCATGCATACAGGTATATCAGCATTTTCAACCTATATTTTTCAAATATCCTTTTTCTGATTTTCTGATGAGGATTGCATGGTAATGAAATAGAACTGCAAGACATGTCTTAAGTAACTTGCGTTGGCATACGCATATATGTAAATATGCGCATTTAAGGAAAAAATTGAAAGAGTTTACAATATCTTCACTATACAATAAACTATATATACACTCATGTTTCGCTCGCTACTCTGGTTTAAATAAATGATTACAAAGCCCAGTCGAATTGTAATCAAGAGCCAACGGTTCGACACTATATACACACTGTTTCTTGCATTTCAGATTATATTTCAGGTTCTGCTATCTCTGTATATTGCAGTAATTCCTAGCTAAACCATTACCGGCACTTAGTTCCCATGCAAGTGGAGTTTGCAAAGAAAACACTGAAAGAAATATTGCTTCGGATTTTCTTTGGCTGTCCTGTCTTAGCTGGTATGCATGCTCTAAACTCAGAGTTAATGTGACTGTTTGTACTTAGCCAGTCCAGTCCACTACACGAAACTGCCTCTAAAGTGAAGCAATCCAAGTTGACATGCCTATTTATTATAGCGTTGCTTGCGCACCGGCCCCTTGTGCTGCATTTGTTTATGATTATACTTGCGCATGCTGGTTTTTGCACATCACTATAAGACCCTATAAATAATTTTAAGTTCAATTGCAATTTGTCACATTGTGACGCATATAGTATTATTTGGCTAACTAATACAAAGCTAATACGTATCCCATTCGTCATTATATGAATTCCATTCGACTTGAAATGCAAATGCGAAGTAGGCTTAACTATTCAAAAAGTATAGTTCCCCAGAAGACTGACAAGAATTCTGCAGTAGTTTTAAACCTCGTTTTAAATTATCGTGAATTGCATCGTTGTTAAATTTAATGACGCGCATTACCGGTGGTTTTACGACGCACATTCCGCAGATGCCCAGGCCCTGTGACGTAGTAATGACTTGTCAAATCTCCGCATAATTTATAGCGGTAGTAGCAATTAGAGCTGCCTATTAGAGAATAAAGCTCGCATGAAATAACTATTTAGCTATCTTATGCTATCAGATTTATTTACCCAGACTGAAATTATATCTTAGGTTATTTTCTCAATCTCCTGCTTAGGTTGACGTTTATGGAAGACAATGGGACGTTCTCTAAACATCGTGTTGATTGTCTGAGTCTCGTTTTCATGCGAAAGACTGGCTAATATGGATCGTCTGCGAGGCGCCATGTAATGGGTCTTGAGAAGTAGTTCAAAGGAGCGCAGTTTCCCGATATCTCCCGAAACCGCGTCCGTCCCCATGCACGCAAACAAAAATAATTTCCCTTATTTTCCCTTTTCCCTTCGACATACTGACGAATCGGAAAGAACAATGCACGACGTCTCAATTGCAAACAAAAATAGAAACTTGAGAGACAGTCGGTCACTTTATGCTTGTTTGTGTCAAATTTTGCTCAAGTGTTAAAGTTTTAAGTGCTGCAGATAGTTTTAAATTGGAAATTAGGATAGAGCTAATTAATTTGCAACTGTATAAACACAATAATATAGAAATTAAAATCGATGCATTGATATGATGACGTTTGGTTACTCCGTCCACTAGAATGATACATGTGAGTACCAGACTCGTGTATTTGTGGACCCAAATTGAAAATTGGTCTGGAAAGACGATTAAATTATGAATTTTGATATGAACTAAGGTACCATCCCTTTGATCCCAAGCACAACAACATCTCTAACACTAAGCCTGACCGAAACATACGGGTATTGTAACCTGATCAGAAGTTTTCAAGTTACAGTAAATATTTTTGTAAAATTATTTTCACTAAGGGATGCATGTCTTCAGACTGATAGCGAGTCTAGAATACACAAAGAATATTGAATTTTGAGGTTTCACATTTGCTATAGTAAAAAATCCACAAAACTATTGAACTTTAAGCCAATTTCAGTTTAATTAAAGCTAATTTTTACTAATCTTCGTAAACTCGATATGGCGAACTTGAATCTTGATAGTATAAAGTACTATAGTTCCAAATATTAATTGAATACCACGTTTTGTGATTAGTTTGCTTCAACGAAAGTAACAGTGTTTAGAAATCGTTCTTTCGGCTGATTCATTCTTAAACTAGTTTTATTATTATATTCAACCAATCATAGCCAATTCATATGGGCTGTTGGAGAGAAAGACCTACAAGTCTATTTGAGGAGACAAACGTTATCACGCGCCTCAAACTATATGTTTCTCAGTAATTGCGCTATAACTGTGCGATTATTAAAGATCGGATTTGCTTACTGTAAACAGAAGAATTCTGTTCACGACGCACCATGGGAATCCATACACTGCATTGCAAAGTTATAGTCTTTCCTACAAATCTGTCTCGAGCATTATACTAGATTGTTAGTGGTGTAGAAAATATAGTCGAAAAGAGCCGCAGTTAGGTTTTCATGCAGGTGTGGTCTAATTAAAATCGTGAGTTGATGAAAGGTGTTACAAATGGTTTCTAACTTTTAGGAAATACCACTAATTTACGATACAAGTGTGTCGTGTTTAATAATCAGTCCAAATGTGCTTCCTCAAGAGATGTTTCTTCACTGCCAAAGGCAATATATATGCATGCATGCGAAGTTTAAAAATACATTCAGAGAAGTACATAATACTTATCAAACAGTTAAACTCCTTCAAAATTGATAAGCAGCTTAGCCGTGCCCTGTGACCCTTGCGTGACATGTACATGATGGCAGTTACAAATTGTTTTTAAAATTGCCAATTATGAAATTCAAGACTCATTTCTATAAAATTACTGCGCGCAATCTGAATGAATGAGCGTGCATGTGTCAAAGAACAACGACAGAGGCTATTAAAGTGTGAAGATTATAGAACTGATTGAACATAATGTAATCTAGATCTAAATTTCGGTAATTTCAGTTAGAACGAAATTTCTTTGGCAAAGTTGAAAGGGACAATGAGATAACCTCTGTATTAAAACAATATGCCTAATTAGATAATTAAATTTGCATGCAGTGGATCACCTTATAATGTGCTCGGTGATAATAGTATAAAAATAATATACTTTGAAACAATAGGATCGTCTGTCTAAAAACCATTTCGCATACACGTATGACAAATAAGCACAAACACAAAACACTGGAGGTTGGGGCTGCAGCCTCCCCGGCGGCCCCCCCCCCCCCCCCCCAGTCAGTATTTAGTCGGGCAGATTCTACTTAAAAATCAGACTGCCTGCGGCCTCGGTATAATGTATTTTGTCATGATTTCGTGTAGAGATATTATTAATGCATATATTATTCTTTAATAATCAAAAAAACTGAATGACAGGTTGAAATTTGCTTCACTAAATGCAGGAGAGTGAGGAATTGTGGACGTATCTTAAAGAATGAAATCTCAAAAATAGAAAGTTACATATTAATTTAGTAGAATCACACTAGTATACTATTGCAAATGCTGTAATTTGATTGGCTAGTCTACTCGCTATCTATTCCTCGATAGATAACGAGTACTATAGTAGCAAAACAATAATTTTCCTGGCGCATTTTTTTTTTAAATAATGGCTTCCGGCTCGCGCTTTTTATTGAATTATTGAATTATTTTGTGGAATATTTTATGTTTGATCTCTGATTCTGGAAAAACAATTAGATTACTCGCTCTCCGGATTGTATGAGGTCATAGTTGATTCGGGCTTCGCCCTCAATCTAATTAAATAAAAAATAGTTATATATATGAAATCTTGTAAATATGATTCTTTCTTTTCTCCGTGTTGGTGTTATGTACTCAGTTGAATATGATGTTTGTGATGTTACTCTGAGTGCATATATCCATACCGGGCAAGCGTGAAAAATATGCCTGACCACGGTGGGAATCGAAGCTATATACGACCTTTGGAATACTAGCCCAATGCATGCTCTGCCAACTGAGCTACGCGGTCAGGTCGGTTCGAGACTTCGAGTATGTGATATTTCGGAACTGAGTCTAGTTCCTTCGATATCAATGCAATGATTGCAATCTAGTAATCATGATTCTTTCTTTTCCCCGCATAGCATACGTCACGCTCTCAATTTAGAGTAAAAAGCATTGCTTTATTGAATATTTGTTATTATTCATCTCCAAACCAGGATTCATTCGCTTCCCAGGAATAATTATATATGCAGGAATATTTCATTGCTAAAAATGTTTTGACCAGTGCAAATAACAGTTGTTCCCACTGGTGGCCATAGAAACACGAAAAACATTCTCAAAACAATTATCGTCATGCACTTTATCATTAGAACACAAACATATAAGACCGCAATTCATCATCATTCTGTCCTGAACCTGTTTCATCCAGTATATAGTAGATGGAATCATGATTTTTTATACCTGACAAAAGATTTGTATATGTACACAAGCACGATATATACATAGGCCTACGTATATATATAGAATGTTCTTCATTGTTTGCTGTTCAAGTCCTTATACAGTGAACATCTATACATGACCAACCTTTTCAATTCAGTATCTTTATGCTTGAATTAATTTTCTTCTTCGAATATATCTTTTATGATAATCATAGAATGTTATCCTCATTTTTTCGATGATATGAGCATCCATTCGTTTCCTAAAACAAAAGGTAATAAAGTAAAGAGCTAGGTAGTACATTAATTTCCTTAGATGAGTTCGACTAATATAGGTACCATTCATATTATATACGACAGCAGTAATATAGGTACCGTTCGATCCGGATTTTTGAGGGGGCGCATCATCACTAGCATAAAATGAGGGTGCGCAAGGGGGCGCAGTGTGAAGGAATGGTGCGCAATGACGTCATATAACAAGACTGGGCAACTTTGGGAAATCTGAGGGTGCTAATTTATTCATTATAAATATGACTTTTACTATAGTGAACTTGAAATGTATAGTCGAATGGTTATGGCGTACTGTACTAACTCAACCTGCATTTAAGCAGAATCAACAACACTTATAAACATAGCGAATGCAATGCTGACCATTATGAATAATATAAAGAACGAACAATATAAAACATCGCTTACAGGAATATATAACTTTAAACTAAATTGTTTTACAAGCTGGGACGCGTAATCATTAGGATCCCAACTAATAGGTTCCCGATGGATAGATAGGAATATTATTATGAGAGGTCGCCGTACAGTAGGCCTAAAAACCTGGACATGTTCTGGATGAACAGACAATATTTTTGCTGAGTGGGTTTCATAGTAATAAATCTTCCAAGCCTAAAGCAGGAATAAAAATCGAAGTAAAGACATATATACGAAAAATCTTAAACAGGTCGTCAAACAATCCTTATTAGTATCAGGGTTAGGGCTGACGCATAGTTTGAGTTCCTTATTTAACTTTATTCGTATCTCCCTTTTCTTTAGGACTGGTGTTAGGGTTAGATGTTATGTTAGGGTAGGGGCCTCTGGTTAGGGCTGGGCTGGCCACCATTGACCAAATCATAACCCACATATTAGAGAGGTTTAGGTTTCACTATACGAGTACGACAACTCGAGTACGAAATTTTTCCCGCCAAAAGTATATAGCCAACCATCTGCTGAGATTGGCAAGTTGTACTCGTTGTTCTGTTTACTACTAATAGCAACGGCTTTTTGAAACTAAAAAGCTTTCATAAGTATACCTTTAAATTGTTTATGAAACGAACTTTCTTCCTCATTGTTCACTGTTTTGCAAACAGTAGCCCGCGTGCAGGCCCAAGGGAACTGATAGTGGGCCTGCAAGCAAGGCCCGGTATTTTGTAAAACGCCCCTTTTCATAACACGCCCCATTCGTGCGTCAATTGTCAAAAAAGAACCAATGACAGCAACCCAAATATTAACAAACAAACTCGCATTAAAATGTTGCGGGGTTTTCTCTGCTTTAATATTCAAAATAGAAACAATGTGTATTAAATGCCTGTGTTAAAACTCCAAAAAAACAAGCAACGCAGTCAGTAATTGCCAAATTTACAAGTGCTCATTTTCAACTAAAATCGGAACAGGCAAATTAAGACGAATTTCAACAGAAAACCAGTGTCAAACTTCAAATCGTGAGGGAAGTCGTGCGACCACATCAGCATTTATAATGTTGCTTCGCTGTCGCCATTGTTATAAATAAATTGTCTCACTTATCAGATCGTGTGTGCAATTCTTGTTGGCGGCGGAAAGTACGAAATTTATTTCAGTTATTTCATTTGGTGAGAACTCTACAAAAGAAGAGAGCGTTCAGAGTCCAGATCGTTTCGTTTCAAACGGCAATTTAATACCGTCTTATCTTTTGCTCTCTCAGCGAAGCCTTGTAAATCGCAAAGTATTTTGAATAGGCTTACATCACATGCAACTGCATCTCAACATCAACCAAAAGATAATTTTCTTGAGGAACATATAACGT